CATTGTATTGCCTCTGGAAGTATTCGGTTCGCTGCTCTTTTGTTGGCGGATTCTTCGGATCTGGTTTCGGCTCTTTCGTTTCCTCTGTCTCCACACAAATGAAGAAGACCTTCTTCCTTCCGTCAGTGAGTCTGTTAATTGACTGTCTCCTCTGTGAGACCTTTCTATGCTCAAGCTTGATCATGGTGAGAGGTGAGTACTTGGCTCTGTCTTCCTCGCAGGCATCCAATTCCCGGCCGATGATATTGCACTTCGTCTCCATCATTGTCTTCTTCAGAGTTCCATCCCCCAACGTCATTTCCAGCTTGCGATTCACACGTTGAGTCCAATACTTGATAGGGATGAATAGGCCATGATATCTGGCATTCCGCTTGAGCATGGGAATGAGGGCCTCCTCGATCTCTGAGTCCTTCTGCGTCCGAGGCATTGTTGCTACCGGTATGCTGCTATGCTACTGTCGTCAAGCCCTAACAAAATGTTGCTCGTTTTGTATCCAGGTCGAGAATAGGCTCGGGGATACCTGTGTGGATGCGTGTGCAGACTGGGATACACTTTGGTGATGATGTTGCATTTGACTCTGGTCGACTCCATGGCTATTGATGGGGGTGGAGCTACATTTTCAAATGGTTTGCCTCGATCCACAACGGCGTTCACATCTAAAACTTCACTCCATAAACTCGAAAAAAGTGAGACAAATGTCGCCCGGGTGGACATGTGTTTACTATACAAATTATCAGTACTAACAAAGTTTCCCGCGCTTTGCGCCCTTTTTCTAGCTCCGGAGCCCCAACCCAATGTGACTTCGCCTCCGCCTCGACATTTCGAAAGTACACAGTAACCTCAGCCTTCTCGCGATGCACGATTGCAGCGGGTGTAGGTCAGAGCAAGGGAGTCAGAGACAAGAAAACCACGAGTGTTGTGGTTTGCTGGCGCAACCGCCATGGATGACGCTGAATGAATTCTTACCTTCATCGTAATTCCCAGCCCTCCGAATGAGCAATGCATGCACCTTTCCTTTGTTGCGTAGCTAGATTGCTTTTCAATTGCTTGTTCTGCTGACAATGTCATGCAGAAGATCCTCCGTGGTGTGGACTGTGAATAGCCGACGACGGAAATTGGTTTGGGCAGTACAGTACGGTACTACCAGACGTAGTCGGAGTAGTCTAGTCTCGCTGAAGCAAAGCAAATCTGAGGACGGGCTGGCTTCCATCCTTTAACCGTCAAAGCTGGCTTGCTTCGATTTTTGTCAATTCTTCTGTTGAAACATGCATAAGACAGAAAGGTGTCACTTTGACAATCTGACAATACTGTACACTCCAAACTCAATAATAAGAAAGCTCTAACTGGGAGTCAGTACTGGAGCTTTCTTAGCCAACTGCTCTATTTTGCTACTCATTTTATTTCTAAGAAAACAAGCCAATTTCAGTACAGATAACTTTCTTACTACGCTTCTAGATCAAACAGGTTAGTGTTTGGATACACCCAGTGCACCGGGCCATTTGGGTCCAACTTGCTCAGAACTCTTAATTGGTTTGGATCAAGCATTAATGGTGGTCACTGTGGCTACCGTTGGGCAGAAAATTTTGCAGATTTGAGCACATGCTAGGAGAATTTCATGGTGTCAGACTAGTACTATTTCTTGTGCTTTGAGGTATCAATACTGGGAGGTTTTCTTACAAGTTTGTGAAATTTCAGTGTAGAAAGATTCTTATCTTTTTCTAAAATCTGAGTACTCGCTTTCTTATTTGGAGTTTCTTACCTTCAGGTTTGGAGTGTAGCTGATGTGGCGAGATTGTCCTTAAGTAAATTGATAATGGATGCTCTCACAAGCAAGCAAATTTCGAAGCAAATCGCGCATGTTTGCTTCACAATTTGGTCAAGACTTTCGCCGGTCGGGTGCCCTGCCAGCGTGTAAAACTAACTGATGTCGCACGTCTCCTAACTGGTCTCACACCTGACGGGCTAACTTACCGAGGCGTTTCGGGAAAGAAGGCAGGTGTATGATTGGTTAATGGGTACCGTGGTACTTGAACGGACATGATTCTATTTAAGGACAAGACAGCAATACTGATGTCATCTTATAATCACATGCAAGACAAAAGGCGCCAATCTCTCGCGCTATTTCAAAGTGGAACTCCCTCCTCGAGGATTCCATTAAGAAGGATAATAAGTAGAGAAGAGGCATGGCCAACAACATGACGGCAATGGTAACCAACCCATATGCAAGGAAAAAACAGCGGCGACAGGAGCAGCAGCAGCAGCAGGAAGATGGAGAGGCGGCACAATCTAACATGGGGCAACAGAGCCAACGAAGAGTTTCCCAAGAGAAGAGGACTCACGCATTGCAACAGCAGAACAAAAGCAAAAAGCAAAAAGGTGACCAGCTCACCCTATTCGGGGAGACAGCGTTTGATGCTATTAAAGATTGTGAAATCTGTAAAGCTAAAGCTTATGGTTTAAGACAGCCACACAGGCGCCATCACCCACTCTGTAGTAATAATAGACGAACTAAAGGTGTCACTTCTGAAACAACGCTAGCACAACAGAAAGAAGACAAAAGGTTGAGGCGCCACTTCTCTGCTCCCATTATCTTCACTGGTGCTAACTTGACTGGAGGTGCAAGGTTCTTTGAACCAAGACCGAAAGCTTCAAAAACTTCCAAATCGAATTCGACATCCAACAACAACAATATGGAGGAAGTCGCTGTGGCATCCTTCCCATCATCGACATCCATCGATTTATGCAAAGCAGTAAAAGAGAAAACGCAGGACAAACAATTTCAAGAAGAGTATGGCAACAAGAAAGCTCCTCTGGGAATGCTTGCTTTAGCTGGTACAGTAGTCGATAAGATTGTGAATAGGCCAAACAATGGAGCACTCATCACCTCCTATTTTAATGGTCTCACCATGACAGTACCAGTACCCTCAGTGCATTGTGACGATCCATACTATCACAGCATTGTGGGGCAGAAGCTTCTTTTGGTTGACTGGAAGAGGATGTTTGGCTTGGCGATTACTTGTCCTCGATGCAATGATGGCATTCTGAAGAATACCAGAATGAACTTCTCCAAGAACAAGATCCTATTTCCCATCTTTGCTATTGATGGCCCTCCATCTTGGTGTATGATCATGTCAATGAAATGTGCCAACTGTCATGTTCGCTACAACGCCAATGATAGTGCAATCCTGTGCCAGTTGCCGGCTTATGCAGCTTCGGCATATCCGGTTGAAGCTAAGTATGCCCTGCCCAAGAACTCTCGTCTAGCACGTTGTGCCACGGATGTGTTCGACATGATCCTTCCCGCCTATGGCAACGGGGAGTTATGCAGTCGTATACTGTATCAAGCGATCAACAAAGCATACATAGAGAGAGTTTCGAGTTACTATTGTTATGTTGCTACAAGAAAAGAACCGGTCCATGAACCAGGCAACGAACCAGTGAGGCAGGCATATTTGGAGAAGGATGGTCAGTTCATTCGACATTATCCACCACTTGGCGACACAATCGGAGACATGTATGATGAAGCATCTTGTAATCCCCACACGCCTTGGGGCATAAGCGATCACGACCGACACACAAGAGAGATCCAAGCTGTCAAATGCACTTCGATCTTTGCTCAGGACCACACCCATGAGGTCACCAAGAACTACTTCCATAAGAAACAATGGGGGCAGAGGCGATGTGGACTGTGTCAACAGAAACTGGTGAGATCGCTTGCACAGTACTGGTGCCTTCAACCAAAACAATTCACTTTTCGCATGCAGCCAAGCAATTGTCGTTGAGGGAGAACTTCAATCCGCGAGTCATGTATTCGGATACTTGGCCGTGTAAGAGCCAATACTGGTCACTTATCCTTGGCCAAGAAATACAAGGCCGACTTGCTTGGACTCTTCCATTTCCTTCAACGAATTCTGAGAACTCTGCAAAAGCGGCATGCCGACTATTTTCGAGCTGTCAACCAACTCTTGAGGGCTGTTTACCTGTACAACAAAGGCGATTATGAGGCTCTCCTCCGTGCTCTGAAAGAAGGGACTCTGTCCAACACGAATTATACGGGTGATGAGATCGCGGGACTGAAGGGAACGTACACCTTCCGTCAACGATACAATAAGTACTTACGCAAAGAAATTCGACAGCCCGAGTCAATGAGACTTCTGTTGGAAGAATGGTTTCATCGATTCAAGTGCACAACCAGCAACCCAGAGTCAACACCTGCAGGAGGACAGTTGGATCCGAAAACGCAGCAGACACTGTTTACCATTGAAACGAAGGTGGCTTGGACAAACTGCAAGGAAAAAGCGGAGTTCCTCCAAGACACACTGCCATTGAACGAGATGTACGAAATTATTCAACCAAATCCAAACTCACCTCATGGACTCAAAGAGTACCTCTCAAGACGCGGCAAATCAGGCCTTGAGGCTTTCCATCTACTCCTTGCACATTTTGTCAATTGCGGCATGAGGAATAGTCTGGCCGACAATCTTAACTTGACTGGAACAGCAAGGTACAACATCTCAGTGAGACACAAACTGGCACTGGCGAGGAGCCCCTTCGATGAAGCTACTGTGGTGAAATGCAAGAAAATGCCGTCGACCTGGGAAGGAGTTGTTCCATATTTCAACCACTCGGAGCTTGCTTGGGGTTAATGGACTGGCAGCGGCAGCAGGTGCACCAGCACCATTTTCAAATGTGGAGAAGCTGGGAGATGACACTGGTGAGCGATTTTTTCCCGAATACATTGAGTGGCTCAACAAGACGAAACCTACCTTTGACAATGACGATCGCTGTTTGTGCGTCCTGTGTAAATCCGAAGAAGTGTCAGTTCAAAACAGCAATAGAAATCAACGACAATGTGAGCCGGCACATCCTCCACTTACAAACGACAATACCGATACTATGGAGCAATCGCTAACAGCTAGGACCCCGGAGCAACAACGACCGGTTGAACCTGCTCGCAATTCACCGATTTTGCCACGTCAAAATCAAGTACAAGGACAGCAGCAGCAGCAGCAGCAGCAGCAGCAGCAGCAACAGCAACAGCAACAGCAACAGCAACAGCAACAGCAACAGCAACAGCAGCGTCAGCAACTGCTAATGCAACAACAACAATTAATGCAACAACAGATGCAACAACAAATGCTTACCTATCAAGCGATGGCCACCCTTCATCCTCCCTGGAATCCAACCATGCTTCATGTGCCTCAGATGATGTACTTCTCCTGCGACAGGTATAGAGCTTGGCGTAACAACCCACGAAGGAAAGGTCGGCCGCCGCATGGTGGCCATTGTCGAGGATTTCAAATTGCATAAAACCCAATATAATGAAAGTACATGTAGACGAGAACAGAAGAGGTTAGAATCCCAATTTTGAATTTTAATTATGAGTAGGTCGACGCACACCTCTGTCTCTTCTGTGTCTCTTTTCTGTCTTTGCCATGTCGGCTTGGGTGGGGAGGGGCGTAATGACATGAGTTACTTAATGTGAATGACTATCCGTTGCCTTGTCCCCATTTCACTATAAGTAACTGACATGGCTAACTTACATGGGACTCATTAGGATCAAAGAATCGGGAATCTAACCTCTTCTCCTCTCTTCTCTTTTCTTTCTGCTCCCCCCTGCGGGGTGCCTTATCCCCCCTAAAATTTTACCGGGCTTGGAAACGAGCAAAGGCAAGTAAAAATGAAATTTTGGAGTGGTACTCCGGAGTATTATTAATAGAGGATCACTTATCTGACAATGAAAAATGGTGTCAAGATTGCATAAGGAAACATCTGATGACCATAGAAGCTTTGGCTGAAGAGGCATTGATGTTAGAACCGCAAAGTAAATTAACAAAGGAAAATAAAGGATTGCAAAAAAGGGATTGGATGATCCTGTTCTCTGACGGAATTGACAAATGCACTCTATCACAGAAAATAAGGGCTGAAAGGAAAAAACTTGTTGCATTGACATACGATCCAAGAGAATAGAAAGAAGCAAACGATTAAAAAATATAGCAAATGGCCGATGGAATACATGGCTGCATGAAATGATGGTTATTGATGCCAACTGATGGTTAATGGTATGAAAGTTTGAAATGTTGACTGATGGCTGCAATAACATGAAGAGAGTAATCTGCAGTTTGGGTCCGCTCAGTTGCCGCGGAGGCCTGATGGTTAATGGTATGAAAGTTTGAAATGTTGACTGATGGCTGCAATAACATGACGCTCAGTCGCCGCGGAGGCTGAGGTTGGAAGGCCCATGGTCCTTGGGTCAATGATACAGGCTCAGTCACCGCCTGGATATAAAGGGGGACCGGAGGGTACCGGCGCTTTGACTACCAGTTCTTAAGCCTTCACCTTGATTACGTTTAATGCCGGTCCCCCGGCCCCCCAAAATTGCCATTTACTATATAAAAAACAGTAGAGGGGACCAGGGAACCAGAGGGGGTAATAATAGTATCACCTTATTCGCTTAATTAAGGTTGCACACTTGCTCCTAGGCCTCACGGTGCTACGCTGACCCCCCTTTTGGTTCTCATCCGAACTTCATCCGTTCATCCGTTTTTAACGATGTATCCTAAGGTCTGGCTGTCGTTGCCGAAAGCACACGATGTGCTTAGAGATAGAAGGCGTCTCCGGAGAACTGTTCAGCATGAAGGATTTACATAAATAAATAAGTAAGTACGTACTTTAGCTGATGTTCCGAGTATCCGTGACCTAGGTGTTCCGGATCGAAGTACGTACTTGTATGACGTCAGCGTTCCGAGTGTTAGGAGTATCCGGAAGGCAGCGTGGGTGTTTCTGCGCTTAGCGCTCTAGGACTGCTGAGGTACTTGATACTCCGAAACCTAGGCGGTCGCATAGTTGGGTTCTTGTATTCTTGAGGTTCTTGGTTTGGATGAGATGAGAGTTTGTTATGCGACCGTACAGGAATAAGAAGCATTTTTTCCAGTTCGATGTAACGCCTGGCGGTGCGCCTGCCACCAGTCTAAAACTGGCCCCACTTTTCTTTCTCAATCCATCATCATCCTTTTTGCATTGGTGATTTCCATAGGAGATTGATATGGTTTGGAGCAGAACAACAAGGATGCACTACGCTAAAAGCTAGTGTAAAGATCTTTCGAGTGTTTTGAGTTTGAGAGAATGAAAGTTATGAGAGGATTAGAAAGCTATGAAAACTAATCAACAAGAGAGATCACAATCAAGGGATCGTAGATCTGAACTCCCGCGGGAGACTGTAAAGTGTGATAGAGTAGGTTGTGGTAGTAATCCTACTCGTTCCACGATCCAAAAACGGAACGCGTGGAAGATTCGTCTAGCATTTATCTAGTAGCGTGGAATCTCTCCACGCCAGCTAAATATCTAGCGCGATGTTTCACCATCGACCTAGTATGACTAGCGGTCATGAGAACCCTGTCTCAATGACTATTCACGAGAGACTCAGTCATGAGTCGAACTCAAACCCTATCTAGGATCGAGTCGCGAATAAGGCTAAGAGCCGTGTATTGCATTCGCCCCCTGACAAGGGTCACAGAAGGCACGACATCAGTCGGACAAGGAGAACATATGATTTAAAGTGCGGGGCACTCTCATGAGATTGGATGTAGACATGTGCGTCGCACGATGGCAATCCTACAAGGGGATCAGGCCTTGTATGGGTGTATATACCTTATGTTCCAAGTCTGGTAGACTGTGCCGCCATTGGCGGTAGCATGTTGGAGCCGTACAGTGCCATTGTCATTGACTCGGTCTATAGTGTAAGGACCTTTGTACTTTGGCTGACCGTACTTGCGGTGCTGATACTGTTGAATCATCACGGTATCGTTGACATTGTATTGATGAGGGACACGCGTCGCGTTCTCCCTATCGTTGTTCTGTTGGATGAGTCGTTGGCGACGTTCCTTGATGTACTTCCAGTTTGCTTCGAAACGGACGTTGTGAATCGCGTCACGGTTGAACACGAGCTGTGCAGGCGTTGCACGCAAGGTGGTATGAATCGTGGCGTTCATTGCGAAGCGAACCGCCGTGAGGACTCCATCCCAGGATCCGTTCACGAGGTCGTCTTGGCACTTGATGTTTTGAACAGCGATCAAGTTGCGTATGGTCTGATGAGCACGCTCGACCATGGAGTTGGCTTGAGGGTTGCGCGTGGTGATGAACTTGCGACGAAGTCCATATTCATCCCGGAGAGTCTTCTCGACCTCTGCGCGGAACTCACGTCCTCTATCCATGATAACCTCAGCCGGCCATGGATACCGAGTAAGCCACGTTTGTTCTAGGACGATGGCTACTTCGTCTGCTGCCTTGGAGCAGATCTCTGCAATCTCGAACCATCCGGTTACGGGATCAATCATTGTCAAGCAATGAAGTGTACAGGAATTCTTTTTCTTAGGATCCCCGACGTTGTAGGGACCTATCAGGTCAATACATAGTCTTTCCCAAGGGATCTCCTCGCAAGTCTTTGGAGGCATCAATCCCAGCTTACGCGTCTTGGGTTTGTTCATCTGGCAGCTTTGGCAACGCTGACATACGGCCTGCACAGTCTTGCACAGTTCTTTCCAGGTGTAGTGTTGGCTGATGGTCAGTTCTGTGCGAGTCTCGCCAGGATGCATCAGCACACCATGGTACCATTCGACTAGCTTCTTCTGCATAGTCTTAGGTACGACGATCTTATCGTCCTTAACTACTAAGTCGTAAGACTTATCCCCTCTGGGGAAAGATTGCTTCTTGTAGTCGTTTGGCTTGTCCCTGAGGAGTTTCTCTTGATATCGTTGTCGTCTTTCTGACGAGTTCGATCTCGGGAAGAAGAGGGAACTCGCTAGGGAAGTCCTTTTCGTCTGCAGCCATGGGTCAGCGATCTCGCTGGCGTCATTTGTTCTGAAGAACCGTCGTTGTTGGAGATGTTAAGTCTCGACAACCACAGCGACGATGTTTTGTTCGCCTTGAGTACCGTAGTTCAGGGCGCATTCTTCCAGAATAAGGCGCCATCGCATTACGCGATCGGTATTGAAGTTCTTACATGTAGATTCTTGTGGTCCGTATATCACAACGATCTTCTGTCCCAGAAGAATGTTACGAACTTTTAGAGTTTCTACGATACTGAGAATTCCTTCTCGGTAACGGTGTAACGTGTCTGAGCAGGGTTGAGTTCCTGCTGTAGAACGCGATAGGTTTTCCCTTCTGGGAAATACTGCACCTAGTTGAGTATCACTCGCATCCGTGTGGATAACGAATGTATCGTTGAAGTCAGGGTAAGCGAGCAAGGTTTCTTTACTGATGATCTTCTTCATCTGGCTAAAGGCCTTGTCGTGTTCGGCTTCCCATTTCCACTTCGTTGTTTGGAAGTCAACGAAGCGATGGGGCCAGTACATGTGATCGTCTAATCCACATTTCTCGATAGTAGTTCACTAGTCCAATGAATCTACGGAGTTCTTTCTGTTTGGTAGGAGAGCGATATTCTGGATCGCGTCTATTTCTTGGTTATGGTTGGATCCCTTCTCGAGTAATCCAGTAACCTATGCACTACGCTAAAAGCTAGTGTAAAGATCTTTCGAGTGTTTTGAGTTTGAGAATGAAGTTATGAAAGTAGAGGATTAGAAAAGCTATGAAAACTAATCAACGAGAGGATCCAAACCAAAGGATCGTAGATCTGAACTCCCGCGGGGACTGTAAAGTGTGATAGAATAGGTGCGTAGAATCCTACTCACTCCACGATCCAAAAGGAACGCGTGGAAGATTGTTCTAGCATTTATCTAGTGCGTGGAAGTACTCCACGCTGGGTAAATATCTAGAGCGATGTTTCATCATCAACTAGTATGACTAGAGCGGTTATTGAGAACCTGTCTCAATGATTATTCACGAGAGACTCAGTCATGAGTCGAACTCAAACCCTATCTAGGATCAGGTCGCGAATAAGGCTAAGAAGCCTGTATTGCATTCGCCCCCTGACAAGGGTCACGGAAGCACGACATCAGTCGGACAAGGAGAAATATGAATTAAATGGCGGGGCACTCTCCGGAGATTGGATGTGAACATGTGCGTGCCACGATGGCAATCCTACAAGGGGATCAGGCCTTGTATGGGTTGAAATACCTATGTTCCAAGTCTGGTAGACTGTGCCGCTACTGGCGGTAGTATGTCGGAGCCGTTCAGTGCCATTGTTATTGACTCGGTCTGTGTTTGGTAAGGGGACACCTTTGTGCGTTGGCTGACCGTACGAACGGTTCTGATACTGATAATCATCATAGTAAGTTGACATGGTGTTGATGAGGGACACGTGCCGTGTTCTCCTTATCGGTGTTTTTCTGGATAAGTCGTGGCG